TGGCTGATGATGTACAGATACAATGACAAACATGACAGTGAGGCGGATATTCTGGCTGATGACATTGGAAGTCCTCATACAACGACCTGAATTCTGAACATATAATGGGTGATGGATCCTGAGGCCTGTACAAAAAGATCCCGGTCTTTCTTTTCGGCGCATGTTCGAAGCTCGCATCGGCTATCTCGTGTTGGGAAATTCAAGGGAGCTTATGGGAGCATACCTCTGTAGTGAATTTATAAAGTATCTAGGGATGGAGAAGCATGGAAAATACACAAAGAGCAGGTTCAGGTTCTATTTGTTTCAACCATATATTGAATTCATTTCTCGAAGAACGATATGAACGACGGAAGAGTTGAGCAGCCCTGAGAGCATTGGTAGAATTGAATTGAGTTTGCGCAGAGATAATGACTCCGAGAATCTGAGTAATGCTTTTCATTGGAGTGAAAGAAGTTACACCTAATTCTCCCAGAACTGGGATTGAATTTGCAAGACTTAGACGGCCATCCTGCACCAACATCCATCGCCACTCCCAAGTATGTACGGCATCAAATAAATTGTTCGAAGCTAAGTTAGGATTTATTCTCTGTAACTTGGTATTCACAAATTAAAAATTGAGAACCTTTTCTTCCAAAAAATTCTGGGGAAAACTCATAGGTTCTTGAGCCCAGTTGAGAAAGTGTACAAGTACATCCTTTGAACCTGGCAGTGGGCACAATAAGGTCAGAGGGAAGAAGTCCAGAAGTCCGAGCTCGGAGGATGCACATTCTGGCTGGCATTGAGTCTCAAAAGAGTCAAGATACTGTTATATCCCCTGAAATATTCCAACAGCAGGGAAGGTAGCTGTAGAGCTACAAACCTAAGGTCACGATTGGGCTCATCAGCCTTATCATATCTTATCGGCATCAACTCCATCAGTCAAACACGAACAATGATCAAAAGTGGTTTGCACAGCCATCTGCTTTTTGGGGTCTACATCAACAAAAGGGGGGGCAAGCCCCCCCAATTAGGGGAGGTCAAAGCGGTCAGGGAAGCCCCCCAACCTTGGTTCTGTCATCTATCTTGGATGAGAATCCGTTGAGAATTGACTTATCAGAATTGGTCAGAATCGGTGTTCCTTCACCGAAGGAGGAACTCGAAAATCGGCGATTCTCGCGCCAATTCTTGCCAACGCCGACTCTGACCGTCTAAAATCCTGACAAGACTTGGGTTTTACAGAATATTAGGGGAAGTCAAAGCGGTCAGGCAGGACCGATTCCGAAATCGATTCTGAACCCGATTCTTGTCAGAATCGAACGAGAATCGACTCAGCTTTGACCGCCCGATTTGGCTTCGATTCTCGCGTATGTTTCCGCTGTCAGAATCTGTGTTCGCATGAATCGGCGTGAGAATCGCCGATTCTTGAGTTCCTCCTCCAGAGCAGGAACACCGATTCTGGCCGATTCTGGGAATTTGCCGATTCTCGTCGACAGAATCGGGTCCCAGAATCGGGCACTGCTTTGACTTCCCCTATTGTGACTCATCGACCGTCCTTGACCGCTTTGCCTTCCCCTATTGATCCTGCTAACTTCTAAGTAGCCATATAACGGGCGAAACACACCGTGTGGGAAGCACTATCCATCTAACTTACCTCTGCACAAACCACCATACTCAGAATGCAACCGCTGGAATTGAATGCCGCAACGGGCGAGCCATTTCTACGCCTGCCCGCACCGTTCTCCACCATCATCATCACCCCGCCACGGATGAGCGACGTCGAGCCGAGCGTGGCGATCTTGAGCGATCCCGCGGTCTCCCTCTGGATGGGACCCATGGGCCCGACAGGAACGTACACTGCATCCCAAGCGGAGGGGTGGCTCACCAAACTCAAGGCAGAGACCGATGAGATACTGGATGAGATGGCCCGCAACAGCGGTCCGTTCAGCGGATGTCCGGTGCGCCACATCCGCGAGGTGCAAGAGGATGGGACGGAGGTACCTAGGTGTTCATCGGCGACGTTGGAATCTACCGGTCAAGCTGGAGCGATGTGCTCGACAGGGAGGAGCGCGCGCGCCTCGTTGTAGAGAACAATGCGCGCGTTGCGGGGGATCCTGATATTGTGTGGCACGTCGGCTGTATGATATTCTTTCCTGAGGTGGAGTCTGTGCGTCGTTAACTTCAGACCTCAGATTACCTATCGCCGACCCACCATAAGCGGGGATTGATGACCACCGCGGTCAAGGCAATAATACAGTGGGGCATCGTGTGGATGGGAGTCAAATACATCCGTACATCTGCATTCGAAGGGAATTACGGCAGTTTGAAGTTGCTACAGAAGAACGGGTTTGTGGTCGTGGATACTTTAGTCGACCACGTCGCGATGGGAGACAAAAAACTGACCTTACATGTCGTGGAACGGTGGATATAATATTACACAACGTGACCGTGTCAGACTCCGCTCGAAAATATAGATGCAATCTAAAAACTAACACAGGAATAGGTGAGTTGCTACGATACTTCTTAATACGGCTCTCAGGCGAGCCTCGCCGCGGAGTACTCAGATACGGGTTCCATACACATCCTTCGGGGTAACGCCGGCCTGGCCCCGGCGAATGTTCGCCTGCGCCCATCTGCAGCGATATCAGCGTCATATCACAGTGGTAGCTCAACACACACTTCTTGATTCGAATAGACTCAATCTGGATGAATCCTGTCGTATCCGTTGGCTCGAACCCACCCATCTCGTCCATCGAGCTCTGGCGTTCGTCATACAGCCCCTCGGAGCTCTCACGCCCCTCGACGACAACGTTGCCTTTGTACAGCTTCAGCCGAACGAGCCCGTTCACCGTGCGCTGGCTCGCGGGGATCGCGCTGACGATGAATTCGCGCTCGGGCGTGAAGAAGTGCCCGTTGTAGAGCATGCGGCTCAGCTCGATGGTGACGAACTGATCGCGCAGAGCGCGCACGTTGCGGTCTAGGGTAAGGCCCTCGAGATCAACGTGAGCGGCGCGCAGGATTGTCGCGCCAGGCGATTCGTAGCATCCGCGCGACTTGACGCCAATAAAGCGGTTCTCGACTATGTCGATCCGCCCTATGCCGTGGGTGCGCCCGAGGGCGTTCAGTGCGAGGAATACTTCCACGGCATCGGTGTACGTCTTGCCGGTGGCGGGGACGGTGACCTTCGTGGGCAGCCCTGCGGTAAACTCGATGGTTATCCGCTCAGGCGTCTCGGGTGCGTCCTCGGGGGCGGTGGTCAATTTCCACATGTCTGTCGGCGGCGTGACGTTGGGGTCCTCGAGGATACCGGCTTCGTAAGAGATATGGAAAAGGTTCTCGTCAGTCGACCACGGCTTCGAGGCAGTTTGAACGACGGGGATGTTGCTCTTGGCGGCATATTCAAGAAGGGCCTGGCGACCAGGGAAGCGGTTGTAGAATTCTATTTCCATATTAGTGCATTTCCATCTGAGAGAGAGAGATAAATACCAGGTAACCGCCACGGTGCGATGACTTTGATATCGGGCTTGAGACCATAGAATGCCAATTCGAAGCGAACCTGGTCGTTGCCCTTTCCGGTGCAGCCATGGGATACATAGCTGACGATGTAAAGGTTATGGAGATGCAGATAACCGGAGTGGATACTACTCACTTGCATCCTTCCCGATCTGCGACGGCGATCATGCCACGGGCAATAACGGGGCGAGCGAGAGACGTCCCGAGGAGGTAAACGTTCTGCGTCCATTCAGCTTAAGCCCGATGCAAATCGAAAAGGCGCGCACCTCGTAAATGCAATTTGCCTGGACAGCGGGGTAGATTAGTTCAGTGACGAACTCCCGCTTCAAGTCCTGGACTGGAGTTCAATACGAAATCAACGAATTGTGGAAGCAGAGCAAACCTCCAAGAAAAATTTCTTGGCGCCGACTTTGAGGGCTTTCTTCTCTGCGGCAGCAAAGTCCTGCGTAGAGGGTGAGTAAATCACATTATGAACAGATGGGCGCGAACATCCTCTTGGCCAACATCTGCCATGAACGCGTACACCTCGTATCCCTGCTCAATGAGCCAGGCGAGAATGCATGAAGTATCTGATAACTATTGAGGTTTGCATATCTAGCTCAGCAAGGAACATACCCAGGCCACCAGAATACGCAAGAAGGACACGTCCGAGGGAAGCAGGCATCGTGGGCGAAAGCAAAAGACGATTAGCCGAAGGAGTCAAGCGAAAATTTCAGAGTAACACGTGACCCGGTATCTCATCTCGGCCGAACACACCCGAATAAAGTTCAACTATAGTTGAAACTCGCGGCAAAGGCGTCCATTAAACTGGAGTACAAAAGATTCACGAGAGGCATAAAATGATACCCTTTTTTTACAGAAAGAAGATGGAATACAGGAGGATAGAGCTATTCGGAACAAGAAACAGCAAAGAAAGAGTCGAATTCAATCTGAACCAATCCCACTCTTTCATCCGAGTACTCGTGAAACAATGAAAGCTGGAAAAAAAAACCAAGTCCGCATTGAATCTCGCTTAACATTGGGCCACGCGGGCCTTTAGAAAGGAAATCATGTGAAGCAAGAGGTTAGAGTAGACTCGTGTCCAGTCCCTACGTTCAGAGTAACAGATAGAGTAGTAACAACACAGTGCAATTTATTTGAGATGGATCCGACAAAAACTGAGCAAGAAAAAAAAAAGTGCGGATCTACGTTCGAGCATCACTTTCACCGTTTTTTTTTTCTCGCTCAATTTTTATTCTATTGACTCAATTTCTTTTGCATCATACTCTGCTGTCTTGTTGCTCAACGTAGAGACTGGTACCGAGTCTAAGGTTAGAGATGCCAGTTCCGTTCATCATGGGAGAAGATTCACCCGGGCAGCAGGGCTCCTGCGGGATTGGTTTTGGGTCAGATAAATTTGGGTAGAAAGACTGACCATGGTCACCGACCGTTCAAACTCACTTTGAAGAAAATCATTGCCAGGGATTGCACCGATCCAAGTCCTGGCAGAACAAAAATTTCGCCGGCTCGGCGCGTTCTTAGTTCAGTGGTAGAACGTAGCACTCGTATTGCTTTGCCGATGCTAAGATCAGTTGTTCAATCCGGCTAGAAGGCATCTTTTTGCCGCGACTGTCATGCATATATGCTTCCAAAATTCACAGCTGACTCCCCATATGAGGTGTGGTCATCAAGGGGCAGCTCGGGACCTCAGGCCTCAGACCTCATCTTCTCTCCACAAGTGTGGTTTACGCCTTGAGGGGGACCTCCGCTGTTTTATTGCATGACCGTTTTGAACAGCAGAACTAGCTTTCCGGTGTCGACTTCGTGCCAAGGAGACAGGCTTGATGCATATGGAGTAGCGCTGTGCTGGAAATTAAATAGCAGTTATTAACTTTTGCTAGAAATTGCGGAGCCCTAGGTCCATAGCTAGCACATGTTATTAACAGATATATAGCATTGATGCTATTATCGGCTATTTACTGCTATAAATCGATAAATAGCATGTTATATATGCTAAGAATGCTAAAAATCAGTCATCCACATCCCACTCCTTGTTTTCAGCCTCCGCCGCTGTCACCTGAGACGGTTCCTCAGCCACGGGCGCATCATCATCCTTCTTCCCGGGCGAGATGAGTCCCGAGAGAGCCTGAAATTGAGAGATCGCGGCGAAAATTTGATTTTCTCACGTGCAGAATCTCAAGTCTGATGCGAGCCAATTCTTGCTTATTTCACGTCGTAACTATTGTATACTGTTCAGACAGCCTCTGAGACGTCTCTAGCAGTCCTCTGGTAATTTATAGCAATAAATAGCAGGCCTTCCTGGAGGTCTCCAGCTAGAAATGTTATTAACATGTTATTAGCATGCTATTTATTGTATGTTATTAACATGTGAGTTTCCAGCACAGCACTAATATTATGGAGTGCGTCGCAGTACATGGGTGCGTATATGGCATACGGGCGGCGCGTAATAATTCCCATTCCAAGCTATTAATACAACGATAAAATTAGTGAGTGTCAGTCGATCACATTCCCAAACTACCGCGGACGGAACGGCTTCTTGTCCTGCGTTCCGTCCGTGGAAGGAATGTTATACAGCGCACGCTCCCTCGAGCTCCACTCGAATATGGGAAGCGGGTGAGCCTCGGTGTTGAACACCCACTTGTCTAGAGGTATTATATCCTGGTCGACAAACATCAAGTATAGGTATTTTAGTCTGCATTCCAGGGTTAGCGATGAGGATCGAGCTGCAAGGACGATGGACGAACGTTTCGGCCAAGAAGAAACTGCCAAGACTATCTATCAGCCTCGGAAGTGAGGATACAAAAATGACGAACCTAGGCATCTCATCTAAATGCTTCACGGGAAGCGAATCCACAGTAGAGACGCTGGCATAGCCACGGTCCACACGTGCGTGCTTTTCGATTGCTTCAAATACCGCCCTAGAAAGACATTGGACGGTTGCCCTCTACGTTTGAAACGACACTTACCAGCCACGGTCCCGCCACACCTCGGCCCCCGTCGTCCTCCATAGGATGTAGAAGCTCTCAACGGCCTGGAGATGTGTTAGTACCAGCATGTCCGTGCAGGGGAGCGACGAACCTCTGGCCGTAGCAGATACGTAGTTTTGAGTGCTATGTAATCCCGCGCCTCCCCGTTGCGCTCCGGCTTGGATGGTCCAAGGCCAGGGGGAACGCCACCGGGCCTGCCGGCGGCCTCCCACTCTGCAAGCAACGTCGTCCACTTGCCATTAGACCACGAGCCCGTCGGGCGCGTCATTGTCATCTCGTCCGGTCCGAGGCCACTCGCCTGGTCTGCGTAGGTGAGCCAGCACGTCGTGGCAATTCCCTCCGCGGCCCACATGTGGAGTTCCTTTGTGGGCAGCGGGAGGTCAAGGGTTTGAGCGCCCAGCGCTAGGACGCCTGGAAGGAAGCACGAGAGGTGCTCAAACTTGAAGCTTGGGGTACCGCTGGTGACGTCCGTAACGTAGAGCAGGTTGCGGGTGGGAGTGACATATAGTAGCGTGTCAATTATCGACTCGACCGCTCTTGAATCTAAACACGATAAGAGATAACAAGAAGTAGGATTGGGAAAGCGTCGCACATAGGGCCTTGGTGTGGGGCTCCGATTTAGCGGTAAGAAGCCACTGCTTAAGTAGATATTCGTGAGCGCTGTCGGCGTAGGCCCCGACAGAAAAGTGTTCTACAGGTAGTCAGCGCTGGCTGGAAACCAAGGAAAAGGACTATCACGATTCGTAGGTCTCCCTGTTTGGGCGTCCCATTGAGTGGGAAACTGTCCCGCGGTGATACTAGCATTATACATTATGTCCATGATCTTTTCCGTCTGCGAACCCCACATTAGCTAAATGCTGCACACGAGAAAGTACTGCACAACATTTTCGAAATATTCAGCGCGGCCTGTCAAATGCGCGAGATACTTGCTATCAGAAAGCATGAGGGTAGCTGCCAAGGATCAAGGGATATTTGACGTACTATTCCATCTGGTTACTGAGTGCCTCAGACCAAAGGACAGCACCAGTCCATCCCCCTCGAGTTTCGCCGCTGATTTGGAATTGATGATAAAACGAAAACCTCGAAGAAATACTCACGTTTGCGGATTCACTGCATACATGGGGAGCCCCGACGCTGTCTTGAATGCGGGTAGGAGCGATATCCCCAGCTCGTCTGCTTTCTTAAGCAATATCGGCTCCCCGGAGAGAGCGTAGGCAGACAGAAGACCACCCAAGTAACGGATTATAGTCTCGAAGAACGGCACAAACTTGTCGGACTCGATCTGGAACGTTTCTTCCCTAACGGCTTGGAGACCTTCCTCAAAGAATTCATACAGACCCATGATCCACATGGTGTCTAGCGAATCAAAGACGGAGACGCCCCAGCCATTGAAGCTACAGAAAAATCAGTACAAAAAGGCTAGAGATGCAGATGGTCATCACTTGTTTACACTCCCGCCTGAGATCGGCAACAGCTCGTCAAAAGTCCAAGCATCCCGTTTGTAACTTGTGTACGCATGGACGTAGGCCGCCCGGACCTGCTGCGCTCTGGCAGAAAGGACCTCAGCTGTCGCTGGTCCTGGTGCGCTTAACGGCAGAGTATTCCGAGTATAGTCGAAGAGGTAAGGTCCGAACAGCCAGAGTGTGAGGACGAGAGCGAAAAGGTACGGTAGCCAGCGTAGAACGGGTTTGCTGTAGAGCAATTGGAGTGTCTGAAGGGAAAGGATTCTCCGCTTGGGAGGGAAACTCGCGTTGAGCTGGCGAGTATGAAAGGGTAGCATGTCAACCCCGAATATGCCAAGCCGAGCCCGTGCAATAGTTACGATCACGGCTATCCTCAAACGGTCCAACCCCGTCCATCTCTATTGATCAATGAGAACTACAGTACATTGAACAATACTTATGTAGGAGGGTGTCCGAAAAATTATCACGATGCCAACGTATGTAAGTTGTCTCATTTCGCGACAAAGGCGGTGACTCCCGCTGAGATAGTGCTGTGCTGGAAACTCACATGTTAATAACATACAATAAATAGCATGCTAATAACATGTTAATAACATTTCTAGCTGGAGACCTCCAGGAAGGCCTGCTATTTATTGCTATAAATTACCAGAGGACTGCTAGAGACGTCTCAGAGGCTGTCTGAACAGTATACAATAGTTACGACGTGAAATAAGCAAGAATTGGCTCGCATCAGACTTGAGATTCTGCACGTGAGAAAATCAAATTTTCGCCGCGATCTCTCAATTTCAGGCTCTCTCGGGACTCATCTCGCCCGGGAAGAAGGATGATGATGCGCCCGTGGCTGAGGAACCGTCTCAGGTGACAGCGGCGGAGGCTGAAAACAAGGAGTGGGATGTGGATGACTGATTTTTAGCATTCTTAGCATATATAACATGCTATTTATCGATTTATAGCAGTAAATAGCCGATAATAGCATCAATGCTATATATCTGTTAATAACATGTGCTAGCTATGGACCTAGGGCTCCGCAATTTCTAGCAAAAGTTAATAACTGCTATTTAATTTCCAGCACAGCGCTACGCTGAGACACATAGTCAGAATGTCCGATGAAGCTTAGAACTCGGAGAAGCAGCTGTAAAAGACTCGGGGCAGTAGAGCGTTGAAACACCGGTACCGGGATCCGCGTTGTCGATGATGAGCGGGGTTGGAGCTGGAAGGCGCGCATGAGACCTACACAAACAGTGCTAGCAGTGAGAAATGAAGGGGCGCCGAGTCAGTGAGGAGCCAGCCAGGTACGCGGAATTTGACATGACCATTATGTTCAATATGCCTGGGCCGTGGAGGAATACAGCTGATTTGTAAACAATATACGGGTTTCGAAAATCTTTGATGCTCGATTTGTGCTTACGCTTATTTGTCAATGCATTGGCACACATCGACCCTAAAGCCCGTGGGCGGCTCCGAACGTGAAGTGTGGCTACATGGAACCCTCCGGAATCCCTTCGGTAACGGGCCAAAATCGTCTCGACTGAACTGAGGCAGATTCGGACGTCGCGCGCAATATCCGCCTTATGATTATGTAACCATGTAGATGGCATGTCGTTTAGTTTCGTCGGAAATGCCCTTCTTTTTTGCCTCGCACCATCGATGGGAGTGTAATTAGAGAGGGAGGTAGGTAGGTAGGTCGGATTACACGGCAAGAGAAATGAATTCGGACATTGTGGTGGAGCTGACAAAGATTCAGCGTCAAACAAATGTAAGCACAAATCGAGCATCAAAGATTTTCGAAACCCGTATATTGTTTACAAATCAGCTGTAATAGGGGGGGTAACTAGGGGCCGTCATCCGTTAAAAAAAGGGTGTAGTGTCCCGCCGACCTTTTTCCAGAATAGCCGGGCGACCTCCATCCTTCTCAAAAAGGCCTAACCGATTTGAAGTCGGCAAGATGCTCTGCCTTGGTCACTTGGCAGTGTATACCTGCGATTCCTGTCCTTTCTCATTTGCGCTGTCGTGTTTGGGTGCTTCAAGAACGAGGTTTTTCCCGCCAACTCCGGTGGAGTGGGATGCTGTTTGTTGAATGGGGATTGATGAACAACCATGGAAGATGGAAGTAAAAAAGGCAGGAGAGGAACAGAGAAATATAA